ATGGATCCACCCCCTGAGGAGGTATCACCATAGCACCCTATACTTACAGTGTTATGGACCCACCCCCTGAGGAGGTATCACCATAGCACCCTGTACTTACTGTCTTATGGACCCATCCCCTGAGGAGGTATCACCATAGCACCCTGCACTTACAGTGCTATGGACCCACCCCCTGAGGATGTATCACAATAGCACCCTGTACTTACTGTGTTATGGACCCACCCCCTGAGGAGGTATCACCATAGCACCCTGTACTTACAGTGCTATGGACCCACCCCCTGAGGAGGTATCACCATAGCACCCTGTACTTTCTGTGTTATGGACCCATCCCCTGAGGAGGTATCACCTAGCACACAGTACTTACTGTGTTATGGACCCATCCCCTGAGGAGGTATCACCATAGCACCCTGTACTTACAGTGTTATGGACCCACCCCCTGAGGAGGTATCACCATAGCACCCTGTACTTACTGTCTTATGGACCCATCCCCTGATGAGGAGGTATCACCTAGCACACAGTACTTTCTGTGTTATGGACCCATCCCCTGAGGAGGTATCACCATAGCACCCTGTACTTACTGTCTTATGGACCCATCCCCTGATGAGGAGGTATCACCTAGCACACAGTACTTTCTGTGTTATGGACCCATCCCCTGAGGAGGTATCACCTAGCACACAGTACTTACAGTGTTATGGACCCACCCCCTGAGGAGGTATCACCATAGCACCCTGTACTTACAGTGCTATGGACCCACCCCCTGAGGAGGTATCACCTAGCACACAGTACTTACAGTGTTATGGACCCACCCCCTGAGGAGGTATCACCTAGCACACAGTACTTACAGTGTTATGGACCCATCTCCTGAGGAGGAGGGGACATTCATCCAGTGGGGTAAGGTATGCTGCTGAGTCCCCTCTTCTCTCGTGCAGCTGTCAAGCTCTCAGTCTGTGACCGAATTCCCGACTTTTCAGAAAGGGTGACATCCAAATCACTGTCAGTCATTTTGGTGTCACCCCCTCTGAAGGTGTCACCCGGTGTGGACCGTACCCCGCTTGTGATGCCACTGGGTACAGCAGTCCAGAAGTATGTTGGGGTGCCATTCAAACGAATGGCAATGCACCTAGCACACAGTACGGAGAATTTAGCTAAATGCAATGGTGAGATTGGGCCCTTAAAGTAACCCTTTCAGTTGCCGATATTTGCAAAAAATATGCAAAATACAAACTATTCAGCCGCGCTGTGTGATAGCGCGTGCTATGCGTCTTTGCATTGAATATTACAACAATAAATGATTTGCTAATTATTGCTATAAGTACTTGACACAGTATCAGCCTCTTGCAATCCCTGTACAGCAGAGCTCAGACTGAGCCAGGAGTGCTAACAAGGAGCATGCTGATAGGAGGAGAGAGCAGGGTGGCATAGAGATAAGCTCGTCCTTTAACTATCCAGTCTCAGGCTGGGGGGGAACAAGACCTGTACAAGCTACTTTCCTGCAACACAGAAAAACCTGGGCTCCTGCCCTGCCAGGTAAGGCTCTACTGTGTGGCAGAGCTGTTCAAATCTCAGGAATGGATGGACAGCAATGGTAGGTAAAACAGCTCCCTTGTGTGTATATTGTATCTGTGTATTTAGCCTGGGGTTAGGCAAGCTTGGCACTCCAGCTGTTGTGGAACTACAAGTCCCATGAGGCATTGCAAGATCCTGAAAGCCACAGCCATGACCCCCAGAGGCAGAGGCATGATGGGATTTGTGGTTTTAGCACAGCTGGGGTGCCGAGTTTGCCTAGCCCTGAGTTTGCTTGGAGTTCCCACAAACACTGAAGCAATATAATGGATTTGCCTCCTAGAGCAGCAATAGGTTAAACTCTGAAATAATCCATTTATGGATCATTGCCGGTCACAGGAGACCTCCCGCTTGTTGTTACAATGTCTCCACACGAGCCAATGGCTGATCTCTGCTCCGATTTCCCTTATTTGGCCAGATATTACTTTCAGCTGTATTGTGCCAATGCCATTGTGAACTCAGAGGGCGAGGGATCTGTAGCAACGGATATTCAACAGATTAGAAAAAACTATCCAAACCAAGGCGGCTGCTATGGGGCCCTTGAGATGGAAGGGGGCCCCATGGGGTTGCTGAGGCAAATGAAACATAGAACATGTGAAGATAACACAGTACGGTATCATTTAGGCCTCATTCACATGAGAAAAGTCCGGCATGTACAACTCTGTGCTGCGTGCACAGCCGTATCGGGCAGCGCCCGGGAAGGACAGGTGCTGCGTGTGAATAGTGTGCAGCCCCCGTCCTTCTATATGGGACTAGGCGGCCGTACGCTGCCCTATGATCTGTAGTTACACCCCTCACATGACTCTTGTATGAGGACAATATTTGCTAATTCCAGAGTTCAGCTTTAAGTTTATTGGTGTCACATGGCAGGGAATAAAGACAAATGCAGATATACAATGGGGGGAATTTATCAAAACTGGAGCAGAAGAATCTGGAGCAGTTGCCCGTGGCAACCGATCAGTTTCTCTCTTTTGCTCAGGTAAGATTTGAAAATGAGAAGCTGATTGGTTGCCGTGCACAGCTGCTCCAGATTTTGTCTGCTCCAGTTTTGATAAATTCCCCTCAATGTATCCTGTAGGTGCTCTGTGAGTTCCTGGCTTAGGCCCCATTCACACTAGAGTGGATGCGTTTCAGCGCGGTTTCCGTGCGAAATTTAAAAGGGCGTTTTTAATTGTGTTTCAGCGCTGAAGCACAATTAGAAACACCCAAAAATGCACTGATCAGCGCGTTTCCATTCACCAGCATGGAAAAAAAGGCTCGGGGAGCATTTCGGGTGGCAGGTGGTTCAGATGGCGCAGAGCCGCGCAATCGCATGAATGGTCCCCATAGGGATGTATGGGATCGTTCATGCCGGATGTTCAGTGCGGATAAATCCACACGAAAGAACTGCCCTGGTGCGAATGGGGCATAAGACAGACTCTGGTCAGGTGACACTATAGGGGCCAGTGACTGTTAAAGCACAGCTCAAAACTTCTCTGCACGGGGGGCTCTCTGCTGAACCATATCTACCACCGAGCACAGGTTCAGCAGTGCTATTTTATTAAAGCATATCTAAAGAAAAAAACTTTTTGGGATGAAGAATGGAATGGGTAAAACCCCCTGTCAAGCTTTGCTTACTTTGTCCTATTAGCGAGATTTAAGTCACTTCCTGTTGTGGAGATACAACAGGAAGTGAGAGGAAATCGCTCTAAAGTAAGCGAAACCTTTCAGATGGTTGTCACTGGAACAAGATTTTCCCTCTATTCCTATTGGGGTGACAACTCTAAATTCCCATCACAGTGGTCACCAGGACACATAGGGAGGGTAATTTTCCCAGTGGGGACACTTCCCATTCTATGCCAACACATGGTGTCAAATACACTGTAAGATAACATGACAACGGTTAGACTGCCATCAGCCCTTAAAGGGACCCTGTTGTCAGACCTTTCATTTCAACCACAGTCTTAAATATATATGAATCTATATATAGAGGAAAGATAGATAGATAGATAGATAGATAGATAGATAGATAGATAGATAGATAGATAGATAGATATGAGAGAGCGAGAGAGATATGGATATACAGATGGATGGAAGGAGAGAGAGAGAGAGAGATATGTAGAGAGAGATATGGATAGACAGATGGATGGAAGGAGAGAGAGAGAGAGAGAGAGAGATATATGGATAGACAGATTGATGGAAGGAGAGAGAGAGAGAGAAGAGAGAGAGAGAGAGAGAGAGAGAGAGAGATCGGATGATATTTGCATTGAACATATTGTATGCATGTTATTCACCTGCAAAAGGTCTGAGGCTGCTGCTGGGTGCCGCCATCTTGGATGTGACGTCAGCAGCCCCAGTGCTGTCACTCCAGTGACACTCTATATCAGGGGTGGACAACCTCAGCACTCCATCTGTTATGTAACTACAACTCCCATGAGACATTGCAAGACTGACAGCCACAGGCCTGACTCCCAGAGCCAGAGGCATGATGGAATCTGAAGTTTCATCACAGCTGAGGTCGCCTACCCCAGTCTATAGCATCCGCCTTCATTCCTCCCTGGCAGATACATAAAAAGTTATGTAAGGTGACAGGAGGGGGTGGAGGAGCTGTGCCAGCACAGACAGTAAATAGACGCTCCCAGAAAAGGAGAGTGCAAGAAGGGAGGGGGCTGTGCTAGAAATTTACTCATTTTGAAGCAGTCAAAAATGCTCGCAAGTCAATGAGAAAAGGTTTATGAACAGGAAAACACTGTATGTAAGCATATAAAGTACTTGATTTTTAAGGTTAATGATAGGTTCTCTTTAAAGGCACCCTAGCCCTTATGACGTATACCAGACATGCCACATTACCAAACCGGGTGCACCACCACGGCTTCTGCAATTTTAAGGTTAGTGACAGGTTCTCTTTAAAGGCACCCCAGCCCTTATGGCGTATACCAGACATGCCACATTACCAAACCGGGTCCACCACCACGGCTTCTGCAATTTTAAGGTTAGTGACAGGTTCTCTTTAAAGGCACCCAGCCCTTACGGTATATACCAGAAATGCCACATTGCCGATCCGGGTCCACCAACACGGCTTCTACAATTTTAAGGTTGGAGTGAGGTTTTCTTTAAAGGCACCGCAGCCCTTACAGCATATACCAGACATGCCACATTGCCGATCCGGGTCCACCACCACCACGGCTCACAAGGCTTCCCGGTACTGAGATACAGCCGATGTAACGGCGTGCACAGGATACAATTATCACAATGTATTTCTATAT